AATACACTAGTTATTATAACAACTGTAAACAATAAATATTAACAACTAATGAGCCTTCCAGCATCAAGCCCTCCTTGTATCTCGACCTTCGTCTTGACAATCCGACAGCCTTGATATCCGACATAAAAGAAGGTTTAGTGTCGGATTATTGAGTCACCACTGTAGTTCAACGTCTACACCTTTTTTGTTTTGTAGTGTTGGCAACACCTGCGGATACTGGGAAAGATTTTATACAAGTTCATTACAAGTTTTTGGTAAATGAATACTTTTTTTCTATATAATTTATGGCCTTAAAACTGTGTCATCCTGCACTTAAAGACATTTCTGTTTCCTTGAGGTGCAGGACTTTACGTTTGCGGTGAGAAACGAGCCCACGGTGAGTGAAAACGTGACGGGAGCCGGCTCAGAGGGCTGACAGCCGTGTGTCGTCAGGTTCTGATGAGGTTTTTATGAAGGCCGAGAGTCAATCAGCGCAGGAAGCACTCGATGAAATAGGAGCCGGCGTGCTCGCCATCATCCTGCCCGCCCGCCTCTGGGACTCGCTGCTAACTGCTGCACACTTGTGAGCGGGGAGGTGTTTAATGGTTGATTAGCAGTCTCCAGGAGTCGCCCCGCGCACCAAAGGCACTGTCCTCTCCATTTTATGCCTCTCTGAGAAATCAATTAGCACAATTACAGGGCCTTAGTCCCATTAAACGTTAATCACGGAGGCGCCGGGTTAGCGGCTAACATTAATTGACGTCTGACACGACTTTGAGGGAGATGCGATATCATCTCGGCTTGGCGAGGACTCATCAAGGCGGCGTTTCAGTGATGATGCGGAAAATCAGACGCGTCACTCTCGGGGGATCAAACGCCGACGAAGCTGCTGTCGGCTCCAGTTGGCTTCAACACGGCCGCGGCGTGATGCTCGATGTCAGCCGGCGTCTTTGAAGAAGACTGAGCGATTCTCTCAGGTTAACTTCACAGAGCTGGCGTTAGTCAAGACGCGGAGCTGGATGCTGGATCCTGGACTGACACTACAACTCAAGCTGAGCTGTGAAGGATTTTCAGAATTCCTGCTGCACATTTTTCTCTCTGTAACATCCTCATCAGTGTTTCCTGGCTTAGAAACACAGAAATCTCCCAGATCATGTAATTATCTGATAGATTTTTGTTTCCCACGATGAGCTGGAGCTCATTCAGAATGCTGTGTGGCTCCGTTTGCTGACAAAACTCTGCCAAAGATGCAGAAACAATCCAAAAATGAACTGATTTCAGCTCATTGATTGCACGTTGGGCTGAAATGCATCTTGGGAGTTGCAGTTGAAGTCGGTGTTTGTTTTTTCATGGCTTCTATCAGCTTCTGTATCTCCTCCGACAGTTAAAGTCCTGATGATGAACACCATCCTGGAGGAGTATGTGGCTGCTTCCTTCATTACATCTGTGTAACAACGTTTGCTGATGTGTAACCTGATCCATGCATTATTCAAACGAATCACTTCCTCAGTAAAACACTCATCTGCTCAAACACCACTTTACATTTTAAACTCCAGGAACAACTTGTTTTGAATCCCAACCTTGAACCACTTCAGATTCCATCCCACCAACACTGACCTCACTTCCACTGCACTATAATTATAACTATTAACTATTGTTAAATTACAGATAACTATCAAAATGACAGAGAAAAAAAAAATTCCCGTTAACCATAAAAAAACAGCCCATTATTTTTTATTTATTTATTTTACTATATTTAACTCAATAAATAAAAAATAAAATAACACAGATATACATATATGTATATATACAGAGAGATAGTTATATATATATTACATGTTGACTTTAAAAAAGAAAAAAAAAAAAAAACAGCCAAATATCAAAAATCTGTTTTTATCGATGGTAATTCCTTCTCTTTCAGCGCTTTTATTTATTTATTTTACCATATTTAACTCAATAAATAAATAAAATACAAAATAAAAATAAAATTATATAAATGGTAATTCCTTCTCTTGCAGTGTGTTTTGTTTTAAACTCAATTTAACTCAGTTAAATAAATAAATAAATAAATAAAATATTATTTTCCAGATATTGGGAAATAAAGAATTGGAAATGATAAAATAATGTTTTTTTTAACTATCTTTTTTTTTTTTTTTTTTTACAATATTCCACCCTTGATGCCAGATTTACTTTTAACAGATTTCTTTCTCTTTTTTTTAAAATGGTGTCTGTATGGTGTCAACTACTATAAATATATATTTATTGTTAATTACGATATTTTGCACTTTGATTCACTGTAAACGTGTCTTGTACTCATACCTATAACTGCACATACTAATCAAACATTTATTTATCTTCTTGTTTAAATGCTCGCGGTTTTTTTTGTGTGAGTAGTTTACGGTCAAAGACAACACTGGAGTGAAATCCCTCATGTGTTCACACACTCAGCCAGTTCTGCTTCTGATTTTAGCAACAGAATCAAGTTGAGGCTGTGAGGAGAAACAATCCAGCACTAACGTCAGGCGGTTTGTTTCCTCGGGCCGGTCATGAATCTGTCTTCTGCTGGCTCGTCCTCCTTTCAGCTGTTTGTGAGCATCATCGGGGGCTCGGCTGCTCCGTTGTCAGCGCTGCGGCTTACGGTTAGCTTTGTGTCCCACAGCCCCAGTAATTGAGGCTAAGAGGTTTATCTGGAGTCAGGCCTCTCAGGTCCTGGTCAGATAGAGGAGCCTGGAGCTGACCAGGCAGGCTGCAGAGACTCTCCAGAGACGGTCCGCGGCTGTTTTTCATCCTCCGTCCTCCCCCAGCTCTGACTGTGGAGGGTCTCGCTATCTCCTTAACCTCTCCTGTGAGTGGGGGAAGTCCAGGTCACCACCTTGTAGAAGCAGACGTCTCCGTCCACTGCTTCCTCAGCCCGACGCTCGAGAAGAATAACTTTTGTTGTTTTGTTTCTAGCTGTCATTTTTGTACGGAATTAACTAGAAAAAAAAAAAAAGTTAATTTCCATGTTAATCCTAAATATCAGACCATAACTGTAAATATTGTCCACATAAAAAATCTGTATTTAACTCTAAACTACTGTCTTTACATAAGCAAATCTTTTACAGATGTTTCCCGTTTTGTTACAGAAAATAACTAGAAAAAAAAATTAGTGTACATTTACATGGTTATCCTAAAATGAAAAATTATTTCCAAATCAAAAACTTAAAAAAAAAAAAAAAAGGTAAATCATGCTTCGACTGTTATTTTACGTATTTTTCCCAATTTTCTTAAGAAGTAAAATCACAGAAAAAAATATTTATTTACACAATAACCCTTAAAAACTGTAAATCATTTCTCCAAATCAAAAATTCCAAATGCTAACTTATTTTAAAATTTATTAACAAAAAATTACATTTTACTGTATTTAAATCAGCAAAAATATTATTTTACACATATTTCTTTTTTNAGAAGCAGACGTCTCCGTCCACTGCTTCCTCAGCCCGACGCTCGAGAAGAATAACTTTTGTTGTTTTGTTTCTAGCTGTCATTTTTGTACAGAATTAACTAGTAAAAAAAAAATAAAAAAAAAAATAATAATTTACATGTTAATCCTAAATATCAGACCATAACTGTAAATATTGTCCAAATCAAAAATTGGTATTTAACTCTAAACTACTGTCTTTAAATAAGAAAATCTTTTACAGATGTTTCCTGTTTTGTTACAGAAAATAACTAGAAAAAAAACTAAATATATATTTACATGATTATCCTAAAATAAAAAATGATTTCCAAATCAAAAACTTGAAAAAAAGGTAAATCGTGCTTCAACTGTTATTTTACGTATTTTTCCCAATTTTCTTAAGAAGTAAAATCAGAGAAAAAAATATTTATTTACACAATAACCCTTAAAAACTGTAAATCATTTCTCCAAATCAAAAATTCCAAATGCTAACTTATTTTAAAATATATTAACAAAAAATTACATTTTCCTGTATTTAAATCAGCAAAAATATTATTATTTTACATATATTTCTTTTTTTAATTTTAATTGTATTTTTTTATTATTTACTGTTATTTTACAGATTTTTCTTTTGACTACAGAAAATAGCTTGTAAAAAACATAAATATACATGTTAACCGTAAGATAAAGTCCAAATCAAAGCTGTATTTTTACTAATATTTACACTGTTTTACTGTCTTTAAATCAGCAAAAAATGTAAATCATTTACCGGATTTTTCATTTTTCCACTATTTTAGCAGTTTTTCAATGTTACAGTATTGGAACATTTTTTACGTATTTTTTCCAGCACCCCTGCTGCCACATATTTATTGATGTTTTTGTTTTTTGTTTTTTTTACAGTGTACAAACACACATGAGCTCACAAACCCAGACAGCACTAAGCGAGTACCAGGGGTCTCTCTCAGGCTAATTTTACCGACCAGCCGGCCCAGGAGGGGGGAGTTAGGAGAGAGGGCACATTAAGAGGTGTTATTTTAAGCAGATGTGTCAAGGCGGAGGATGGAGGCAACCTGAGGGCAGCTTATCAGAGCTCTGTGTATGTGTACGCATGTGACCGCTACTCCTGCTATTAGAAACATGTATCGGTGGATATTAATGGCTCTCTGTGCAGTGATACTCCACTACATAGTGCACACACAAACACACACACACACGTATTAAATTTTATTCCAGGAAAGTAATTTGTTCCTTGTTAACTGACACCATGCAGCATTTTCTGGTGTAAAACTGGATGATTCAGCTCGGCGCAGATGGAGCAGCGACCGGCTGCTTTCTTTCATTTCTTTATCTTTAAACACACTTGCCGTTGCCACAGTAATTAGAACTACCCCACGCTGCATGCAACAGAAATTAAATTGCTCTGTCTTTGTTATCGTCATCTTGTTGTCAGACTCGGTGCGGATTCAGCCCTTCTCAGAACAGTTGGGATTCGGCTGACTGCAAACTTCGTCGCCACGGGCAAACCGCTAATCAAAGCGAAACCCGCTGTTTCTAACCACCGCTCTCCTCTTCCTCTCCCCAGACAGCGAGATTGTTCCCCCCGACTGCCTCCGCCCACGCTCCTTCACCACGGTCCGCTCCTCGTCGCTGCGCCGTGAGGCCGACGACTCCCGCCTGTCCGTCAGCCTGTGCGACCTCAACCTGCAGCAGGAGGACGGAGGCTCCGCCCACGGCCACGCCCACCGCCACACCCTCCACCTGGCCTCGGCCTCGGCCTCCTCGGCCTGCCCCATCCCGCAGAACTCCCTCAACTCCCAGCAGTCCTCGCTGCTGCCGTCCGCCCTGGAGAGCGACCTCCACTTCCACCAGCTGCGCGGCGCCCACATCAAGACGCTGGACGAGCAGACGGTGGCGAGGTCCGAGCACGCCCGCGAGGAGCGCACGCTGGTGTTCACCAACCGGCCGCTACGCACCGGCGAGACCGTCTTCATCAAGGTCACCAAGTCCAGCCCGGCGCGCTCGGGCTCGCTGTCCTACGGCGTGACGTCCTGCGACCCGGCGGTGCTGCGTCCCAGCGACCTCCCCTACAACCCCGAGGCGCTGGTGGACAGGAAGGAGTTCTGGGCCGTGTGCCGGGTCCCGACGCCTCTGCAGAGCAGCGACATCCTGGGCTTCCTGGTCAACCAGGAGGGGGAGGTCATCCTCAGCCACAACGGCACCAACGTGGGCATGCAGGTGTGCGTGGACAACTCCCGCCCGCTCTGGATGTTCTTCGGCCTGCACGGAGCCGTGACGCAGCTGAGGATTCTGGGTAAGTCACTGCACTTCCACAACTGCTAATGTTCAGTCCATGAAACCCTACATCATGGTTGTCAAACTCAAACGCACAATGGGCCATTCTTTGTGAGGGGTGGCTTCAATTGCCCCGATTTGGTACCATGAGGTTGTTGTTGTTGGATGTCGAGAGTTGCCAAAGAATGTCAACAGAAGGGGACGCTTGCAGGTCTTCATTTACGCCCCAACGCACGAGCAGAGCATTCTGGGATGTGTCGTATCAGCAGTGCTATATACCAGCGAGCCAGCTCTTACAGACGTCTGATATTATCTCAAAGTTTGAGATAAGTTGACACCTACTATGCTCTAGATTCTCCACTTGCTATAACCTTTAGATTCTGTCCGACAAACGTTCCCTGTTCGGCAAACACCAACATCTTTTCAACCATACTGAGAACAAACACGTGGACCTGCAGGGCATTTATTAGCTGCCAGAACAACTGCAGTAATTTCACAATTAGTTTTAATTCTAAATGATCCCTGACGTGGAGACAGGACGGATCAGGATCTGACGAAAGCTCAACACATCGCATCCATCACTTTGAATTTAACACTATTTAACCAAGAAACTATGCCCACTGTGGACTAATGTTTGAGGCATGTTGGATTTTTTTTTCCAGTTTGGACACATTGTTGTCTTTTTAAACCAAAATAATGAAGATTTTGGAAAGGTTTCAGACAAATGTGTGATTTAAAACTGGTGTTTGTCATTTTAAACAAATTCTGAGTCATTCTGGACTGTTTTTGAGTCACTTTGAACAAGATTCAAATCATTTTGGACAACTTTAAGTCATTCTGGACTGTTTTTCTTTATCCTATTACAAATGGTTTTGGTTATTTTTAATTTAGTCATGTGTTGTAGGATGATGTTCACGTGACTGTTTTAAATGGATCCCAAATACATGCAGATATTATTGGACAAGGTTTAATCTTCATTTTAGCGTCATTCTGACTTGATCTGTTTGTTTTTCTATTTTAGGATTAGTCAGACTGCTCTAAATTTAAACTTCAGTTGGGAAACTAATCGTTAAGCGTCAGCAAAAAGCTTTTTTTCTTTCTGGTTCTTGAAGATGCTCTTTCAGGAGGCTTGTTCAGCTCAGACGTTCCTGTTTGCTTGACTTCTTCTGTCTGCGTTTGAGCTATTCAGACAGATCAGCCGGACAGATGAGAAACTATTGCAGAAATACGGGCGTCAGCGTCCACGCAGGTTGGCAGGTAACAAGAAAACGCGGCGCACAGATGTCAAAATAGGTCTGAAACAGTGCCAACGCCGTAGTTTTTCCATGAGAGAGCTCCAGTTTCTATGTATTTTGGTCACAAAAACAGAACACGATGTTTTGAAGATCTTTCACCTTTAGCTCTCATTAAGTTCTCAGAACTGGAAAAGCCTCTTTAATGAGAGGTGAAACATCTTCAGAAGCAAAAAGGTAAAGTCCTGCTGCGTTCTACCAAAGCTCTTAGGATGATTACGACCTCGACGGCGGAGAATCCATACAGGCAACAACATAAAAACAAATCTAAGAGGTCCTGATGGATCTGTTTTTAAAAATGACAGCATCAAACAGCGTCAGCTTCCAGGCTAAAACATCCCTCTCAGACTTAAAGAGCTTATATTTAAAGGTTTAGGGTCTACTACAATATGTTTACATGCTTTAGAGTTAAACATGCATTATGTATTTCATAGTGTGCACTGCAGAAGCACAAATAGCTGTATTTGGTGAAGGCTTAGTACATTTGCAGAGCTTTTAGATGCACAAAAAAAGCAGCTACACAAACCCCGAAAAGCATCAAGAAAACTCCCCAAGAGTCACAGAAAACATTAACTCTTTTCATGCCCTGAGCGTTTTTTTTTAAATGATTATTATTGTTTTTATTTCTGGCAAATAAGCTGGTAAATGTGTACTCAGTGATATGTGGTGAAGTCCACGTTTAAACTCTTGTTCTGTGAGCCGATGCACTCCATCAGCAAACACACTGCAGGCAGCTACATCCACAGCCGGACGCTGAACATGAATCAGCTTTTATATACATCTGGCACAAAAAACAAACAAAAAAAAACAACGGCTGTAATGCTGAATCAAACAGCACACATCGCTGGTTGTGAGGGAACACTGTAATTCTGTTGTTATGCTGCAGTTTATCCCGCCGCTGTCGAGACAGAGTGCAGACTCATTGTTGTTACAGCAACTTTCCACAGTCGTAAAATGCGATTTCACAGCATTACAAACGGCCGTGCTGTGTTTTCTAACTAATCTACAATGAAACGGGATTTTCTGGACCGTATTTCACGCCGTCGCTGGAGCAGAACCCTCAGCGGTGTTTTGATCGTTTTAGCATGAACGCAGATTCACAAAACACGGCCGACACGTAGCACTTATGGATCAGATCCATAACAGCCTGGACAACACGGTTCTTGTTCCAGAAATAAAGCAGGATATAAACTTATCATGTAGTTATCAGCAGATACAAGTGTGGCTTTATAGGAGAAGTTTTACCTAATGTAGAACTTTAGATGTGTAAAAATATGCTACAGAGTTTAATAAATGTTTTCATTAAGGAGATGCATCGCTAGTCCAACGATTACAACGCTACAAATACTATCTGGTCAAAGTAATTATTGATATTTTATGTCGAACACTAGTCAACTGTTCTAAGTGTAAACTGGAACAAATAACGTTTCTCAAAACCAGAACACTTTGGTGATGTTTTCACTAGAAAATGAAAATGTTGGAGCATACAGCTCCTCAACGAAGCCATTCAGAACGAGCATGTGGACGTTAACCTGCAAGATGTTTCTCATAAATGGTGTTTGATAGCTTTTATTCTGCAAGATGATGCTTCAGCAGCATTTATAAAACAATTTGGTGATTAAAGAAAGTGATCTATTGCTTTAAATGGTTCCTCAGATGATGTTTAGCCTTTATTTTAGCCTCAATTCTGGCAGGATCTGTTGTTGTTGTTGTTTTTTTTTACTTTAAAAGGAGTCTAAATCGAAATTCCAGATAGGAAACAAGTTGTTGAGCTTCAGTAAAAGAACTTTTCTTTTTGGTTCTTGAAGACATTTCAACCATCGTCTTTCAGCTCAGGATCATTTTCCCTGATGACTAAGAATCTATTGAAACGCTGTTAGTTTATTTATGAATGCAAACGAATCCACTGCGTCCTGATGGATTTAACGACCACTTAACACGCTACAGGTGTTTCATACGTCACTGAAACCTGAGCTGGTGTTTTATCTGCCTCCTGTATGTGTCCTAAGCAAGCAGCAGCCTTTAATCTCTGACCGCTCACTCCATCTTGTGAATAATCCGGCTCTAAAGACTAACTGATGGTGGAAATAACCATCCCTTCAGCTCGGCGATGTGTCCCGGGTCGGGAACTTACAGATCGGTATATTGATCTTCATTTGGCTGCGTGAGAGCTCGGTGCTTTAATTCACTTTCTCCCCCCCCCACAGCGGCGGTGGTTGGGGGGGTCGAAATCTATTTGTGTTAAGCGTTGAGCGCTCTGACAGCCGAATTTACGGTCGCGGCCGAAGGGGTCAAGAGTCGGAGCGAGCACTTTGTCGCTTTGTTTGTCACAATATTTACAGCAGATGTCCCGCGGCAGGAAGATTCTGTACACACTCGTGGCGTTATGGGGAGAAAAGTAGATGCTCAGTCACGACCCGGGGGGAAGATGAAAAACAGGAAGCCAGCGAGAAGAGGTGGAAATAAGCGTGCGAGCGGCAGGGCTGTGACCTGCTCGCAGCGGGAGAGACATGATGTCTCAGCGGGGTGGACGCTCTGCCTGGCAGCGGTGCGCCGGGACACCTGAGGTTTGTTTACCCCGTTCTAAACGCCGATAATGACAGGGAGGCAGCAGAGGTGCGCGGCAGGTCCGGACCCGGCACTTCATCAGCCCTGCCAAGCATATTGCCTTCCCTGCGAGGCGCTGGCAGCTGTGGGAGGAGGACAAGTGGAAGACAGGCTGCCTTTAGGATTCTGAACGATGTTTGTTCCCACACCTGCCAGCGGTATCGCATTTAAGCAAATTGGCACAATTCTTAAAAACCCTCGGTTTTCAGCGCGTCGTACAGTCGCAGAGGTGCTTGACGGCAGAAAAGGCGACATCTTTGTCAGCCGTCTAATGCAGGTCGACGCGCGCGGCAGTAAAAGCAGTCTTCTATTAAGAGGAATAACAGTCGAAACAGCGCCGGCCTTTCAAAGGTGTCACAAGTGTTTGTCTGTGGAGGAAGAGGCATCTATAAATACATCCTGCTTTTCTTCGGTGACAGCAGCGGAAAAAGGAAGCTAGACGAGGTTAGAGGGGAGCAACCTTCACTTTAACTCGAGGCAGACACGTCGAACACAAGTCATCATAAAAAATAAAAAAAACACCCTCCCCCTCCGCTCCTCTTTTGCATGCTAAACTCCGAGGCCGATGCTGTCCTCCATTAGCTTGACCCAGTTAACATCAACCATGACAGCAACGTCGATACGAATCACAGCGAGCTTCAATAAAGCTCTGATGTGCAGACGGAGAATATCAGCGATCAATCCGACCCGTGCCAGAGGAGCAGAAATTCTTTCCGGTGATTTTGGGAGGTTGGCAGTCGCGCTCGTGTTTTCCATTGCAAACAAATTACCGTTACTTTACCGTTAAATTACACTCTGGCTCGGAAAACGCACACAACGGACCACCTGGTTTTTCTCTCCGTGCGCGTCTCTAATAATCGAAAACAGAAAAGCGCCGGAGGAACATCCAAACAGGAAGCGCCGAACAATGAAACAGGTCCGACACACGCCTCCTTATCGGGGCCGATCTCGGAATTCCCGCTGAGGTGCGAATCGTCGTTACCGTCCAGCTGCTTTGAATTAGGAAGCCCGTCTTATCTCCACGCGCCGCCTCCTGATGTGTTGACTGGAGAGCGCTTTATTCTGCGGTTCGGCAGAATTCAAAGCTGCGTCCGAGTCAAGGATGTGTCCGAGTGGGCGA